CAAATATTAGTACATGCAATACTGGATTACCACTAACACCAAACACCAGGCTATGAATAATTGCATAGATAGATGACAAGATCAAGTGGGGGTACACGAATAGGAATATACCATCCACCCCCCCCCAAAAAAAAAGAAGTATAATTTTGCCAGAGGATATAATTGGGTTATTGTAAAATATCAGACCCAATGGTGAAATTATTCACGTATTTGGTAGCTGTTTCATCTGAAAATAAAACAAACACCACAAACTTGACAGAAACAAATATAAAATGAAAATTAAATTTTCTTAAATTGCTTAAGTCTTAATTTCTTAAATCTCAAAATAAAAAATATGCAAATTAAATATAATGTGTGAAATAATGTGATCGTTGATAGTCTCTCCTGAGGAGTGAGTGTTAGTCTAGACATCTTTTTATTAGTTTATTTCATCCCTAAAGTCCATTTGCTGGATCACTTTCTTTTGTTATTTCCAAAATAAAGAAGTCAGTAATTTTTTTCAAGAACTTGTCCCAAACAAAATAATAATAATAAAAATACTGTTGATGCCATTTGACTGAATGAGAACCAAAATTTGATAAATAAGGTATTTCCCTCATTGAATTTTAGCAGTTTTACTTGTGCTTCAAATTTATGATTCTCTAAATGGTGGGTCAGATCTCAGGCTAATGATAACCTGTGGAGGAACGAATTTCTTATGTTTACATGTGGAATCTTTAATTCTTTTATCCAGAGGCAATGACATAAAAGAACAAAAATTCATGAGCATTTGAGGCACTTGTGACATTTGGTGCACTGCTGACAATGTTCTTGGGTTCTCTGCAGTGCACAACTGCTAATATTCAACCTGTCCTGCCTGTGTGCTAGGTAGTTTCAAATCCACCCAAAAGAGCCTGTCAGTGGGTGGCTGCTTTGGCTCCTAAAAGATGGATGTGAGGTCTCTGTAGGAGATCTCTGGGGCAGGTCTTTTAGAGGTGTCCAAGTGAATATGCCTAAGGCACTTGACTGCTAACCAGAAGGCTGGCGGTTTAAACCCACTAGCCACTCCTCAGAAGGAAGGTTGGGCAATCTACTTCCATAGTGATAAAGCCTCGGAAACCGAAGGAGGGGTCACTATGAATCAGGTCCAATTTGATGGCACATAACAACAATAACAAAGTGAAGTATCTGTGTGAGATGTGGGATCTCTGTGGGGGGTCTCTGTGTGAGACTTCTGTGGAGTCTACAGATGAGATTTCTGTCAGGTCTATGAGGTCTTCTTGGACAGTCTCTATGAGAGGTCTGTGAAGTTTTTGTGGGAAGTCTCTGTGAGAGATATCTGTGTGAGGTGTCTTTGTAGGTATATGTGGGGGTCTCTCTGTGGATTTCTTATGGATATCTCTATGGAGGTTCTCTTGGAGAGTATGGTAGTTAAGGTTGTGTGTCAACTTGGTTGGGCCATGATTTGGAGTGGCTTGGCAGCTGGATGTAGTTATTTTCTATGGTGAGGTTGGATGTGGACTAATCATTACCATGGTGGAATATACTGTGAGCAGCTACATAGTTGAAGGGGAGTTGTCTTTAGGGTGTACCTTGCTTCCAGTATATATTGAGAAGTTTGGGAAAGTCTCTAGCTTTTTGGCTCATTTTGGATCCTGCATTCGGCTGGCCTACATCATCTCCAGTTCCTTGACTTGAACCAGTGGACTGCCATGTTGCCTGCTGATATTGAGATTATTGCCTGCGCAGCCTGTGAACAAATGACTTGCCATTTTGCCTGCCAATCTTGGATTTGTCAGCCTCAGCAGCCAGCAGCTGTTTGAGTCAAGAGAAGTCTCCAGCTTGTACCAGTGGGCTTGAAACAAGAGGCAGAGCTGAAGTCCAAAGCAGAGGGGCAGAGGGGCCTCCACCCAGCCCCTAGACCTGGCACTCTGAACTCAGACTTCTAGCCTAGTCTTCTGCTACAGCCAGCACTCTCACTTTGGATTTCTAGCCTTTTAAACTGTAAGAGAATAAATTTCTGTTTGTGAAAGCCATCCACTTATGGAATTTCTATTATAGCAGCACTAGAGAACTAACACAGAAGGTCACTAGGGGAGCTCAGTGGGAGGACTTTGTGTAAAGTGTTTGTGAGGTCTCTGTGAGATCTCTGTGAGAAGTCTCTGGAGGTCTCTGAGATCTCTGTATGATGTCTATATGAGGTTTCTGTATGTAGTCTCTGTATGAGGTCTCTGAGAATTTTCTGTGCAAATCTTTGGAGGTTTCTGTGTGAGGTCTCTAAGTGATCTGTGTGTGAGGTCTCTGAGAGGACTGTGAGGTCCCTCTGTAAAATCTCTATGGGGATCTTTGTGTGCAGTGTCTGTGTGAAGTATGTTTGTGGTCTCTGTGGGAGGTATCTCTCTGAGGTCAATGGAGGTCTCTTTGAGATCTCTGTGTGAGTCTTACTATTGTAGGTTTTACTACATTTTATGGGAAGATCTGGCAGCAGGAGAAAGGGAAGAGACTTAGTTCTTTCACTTTTCTTGATGCTCTATCAGTGTTGTTTCATCTCTGTGCACCTCTCTGGCAGGAGCAGGGGCTTTTGTAGCTGTTGGTCCAGTGTCCAGCCCCTCTAATCCTCCCAGAATTCACACCAGGCACTCACATCCCCAAGGGACATCTGGTCTCTCCTGCAGGCCCAGGTTTCATGTCTCACTGTCATACACACTCTGGAGGCTGCCTCAAATTCCAGAGCCAGTATCTGGTTGCTGGGAGAACACTGCGGTACAAGTAGCTAGGCTCTAGGGCCTGTGCCAGGAGCTCTGGTAGCATAGTGGCTAAGACACTTGCCTGCTAACCAGACGGCTGGTGGTTCAAACCCACCAGCCACTCCTCGGAAGGAAGGTTGGGCAATTCTACTTCCACAGTGATACTGCCTTGGAAACCCAAGGAGGGGTCGCTATGAGTCGGGGCCGACTCGATGGCACATAACAACAACAACAACAAGGGCCTGTGCCTACTTTCTGCTTCCCCTCCCCAGGTGCCAGCACCACTTCAGATTTGGTGCCCTGATTGAGGCATGGAAGGCAGGGCTTGGTATACAACTCCAGAAAGTCTTCTGTGTCTAGATCAGTGGCATCTCCTGGAGTACAAATCTCCACCATGGGATTTGGCCCTCACTTTCAAGTTCTGAGTGTGGCACAAAGTACATGACAGTTTCCTGTAGAGAAATTGTTCCTCATCTCCCTGTTTTGGGACCCTGCTTCCTTCCTATAAGGGATTAGGACTGGAGAAGAAGAAAACCTGTGCTAGAAGTTAAAAGAGAACAGGGGCTATTCCTGGACTGTGTCGGTTCATTTGGAGAGGTCACTTCTAACCTTGTTGTGATTGCACATCCTGTCTGACTGCCAGGGTGTGTCTGGGGTAAGCAAAGACTGGGGTCTAGGTGTGACTTGCTTTGTGACCTTCAGCCCTTTAAAGTCCCCTCTCCCCTGGGAGCATTACTTGGAGCATGTGTGTATGTAAAGAGCACCAGGCTGGGAGCTGCATTCTCTGAGTTCTCTAGTCCTAGCTTTTCCCCCTATTGATGAATTTATCTTTCTAACACTCAGGAGGTGAGATTCAGGTAAAATGATGGTGTGCAATCTTATTAAATATATTACTGAAAAAGTAAACTTCCCTGCTTGAAGACTTTGCTTCTATAAGCCTGGCCATCTCCATAGGAGATATTGGCTGCTTAGGGGGAGCTAGAGTGAGGTAAAGACCTGGGGTGGAACCCAAACTGTGTGACCCACTCTAAGCCTGAAAATGGTGATAGTAGCTCAGGTAGCTCCTTGTTTACTGTACCATTTCTGGACATCCCTATGCCTCTTTGCCTTCTTTCAATTCTTCATTGCATCACACTCAAGATTCACAGAGCCCAGCAATCAGTGATTACTGTATACATACTCACCTTGTGCCACTCACCCCAATCTGTCTGCTTCCTCTCTGGGTTGAGAGAGAAGATAAACCTGCAAAAGGGCTGCTGAGAGGATACATTTAATTTGGGGCAGGGAGTGAACACAGGCCCTCAGCAGCCTCCCTAGCTGCTCCCTACCCACAAAGCTGGAAATTCCATCCTTGTTGCTGCCTTTCAATGTGAGAGAGGCAGAGGCAGGGGAAGGATGTTGCTTTACATATCTTTACAGGTAAGCTAAGAGGGAAGTGACAGGGCTCATCTCCCCAATCGTCATCAATAAGAGAAAGGGATAGTGGGAGTAGTTCCCAAATGTCTTGTGCCCACTTTGTGCCATGTGTAGCTGCTGGACTTGAGCATTTGCTAAAGCCTGAGTGAGGAATTCCTGACCTGATTGTACCTCTGCAAACCCATCTCCCTTCAGCTGCATGAAGTTGAAACAGAAAGCATGGGAACCAGACCCTGGGATGAATTCTTCATAGGTTTTTCTCATCTTGGCATGACCCAAATGCTTTTGTTTGTTTTTGTATTGTCAGTGTTATGAAAACAGAAGATGCAAACTAAGGAACCCAGGGTGGAAATGGGTATGCAACACTGTTGTCAACCTCTCGCCATGCCCCGTCCTATCTAGAAGCCAAAGTAGGCACTCAGGAAGAACAAATGCTGATCCTTCCCCTACACACTAGCACAGCAAGAACAGAAGCTACAGCCCTCTAATGAGAAAAAACAATACCAAAATCATATGTATTGGAGAACAATAAATATTTTGTCTGAGAGAAGCCATTAACACACAGAGGATGTGCTAACCTGGCATGGACTGAGTGTTTTCTTGGATAGAAGTTTTCCTACTAAGAAGAGCAGAAGAAGCATGTTCCAGTTGACCAGACAAAACATATTCCCGAAGACAGTGCCATGGGTAGTGGTGAGGGTGGCCTGTGGCACTCCATGTCCTTGGCCCATGCTGTTGGGTACTGACTGAGGATGCAAGCTTTCTGGGGGGCAATGCCTGATTGCTTATCTTGAATCCCATATGTTTCCAGTGATTTCTGCATCTGTCCCTGATCCATCTGTTCCTGGTAGGACAACTCTAGTCTTCAGGGGTATCTTGGTTATGGCAGGCTGTTTCATTCATCACTCTTCTTTGCTCTGGATAGGATGAAGCTTTGTGGTGGGAAGAAAGTCCAGCAACTGGAGTCTGGCTTTTCTGAATTTCTTTTTGTAAATTTAACTTTTGAGGCATGGAGTCCTTGCTGAAGTGCCATTTTCTTCTCTAGAATTTGGCCAAGAGCTGTCATCAGTGCTTGAGCTTCAATGCATTCCCTGTCCACAAAGATTGATTTGCTTTTGACTAGTCCATGTCTCTTACCAGAGGATGACATAGGCTCTCCTTTTTCCAGAGGATTATCCTGCTCTTTGTCTTTTCTACTGGAGAAAATCCACTGAAGAAAACTCTTCATCCTTTTTGTGAAGTAGCCTTCTGAAAGAGCCTGTCCTTTCTCTGGTAAAAGCTGGGGGAATGTGATCCCAAGGGACTCTACAAACTTCTTGTCTTGCGGAGGCTGGCTCATCCTACAAGTTTGAGAAGCCCCCAATTCTGCCAACCCTTCTTTCTGATCTTTTGGTTTGGGCCTCCTACAGTCCTTTCTCTCATCAGTGAGGGCAGAAAACTTGCTCTGGCTCTTCTGAAGTTTTGGGATCTTGGGCTTCTGCTGCCCCATACTACTCCTACTGGCCACAATAAAATCACTTAGCATCTGAGAAACTGGCATGAGAACATGGCATGGGATTGAGAGGCCTGAGAAGCCAATGTATCTTTGGCAAGGACCACATCAGTGGCACAACCTTGAATCACATCAGTGTCGCAGTCCTGAATGAGGACATAAGTGGGACAACCATGAAGCCCACTTTCTGTCTCTACTTCCACTTGGAACTTAATCTTATCAAGCACCTGGGCATTAATGTATGTTTTTCCTGGAACTTGAATAGCTATTTTAGGAGGTGGGGAGATTTCACTAGTTCCTGGAGCCCCTAAGCCCCTCAAATCCACATTTGTGGCTTTGGAGTTTGCCAGCCCACTGGTTCTTAAGATGTCTCTATCTTGTAGCTGTAGTGCAGAGAACCTCTTCACCATCATCATCTTCTTGGTCTCTTTGGCCCTTGAAGATTGGGACTCAGAGCTCATCTCCAGCCTTGTTATGCTAGGACTAGGGCCTCCTGGGGAACAACTAGCAGTCTCTTCCTTTGACCTCTTCCTGTTCATGGAATGATCTAGAGTTGGCTTTAGGCTGCCTCTCTGGGTCCCCAGGATAATCATGTTCTGCAAGTTTTTGCCTACAATGCTAGATGTAAGACACTGAAAAGGCTGTCCAGCCTCCTGTCCACTCTGAGTGACCTCTGAGGGCCCATGGTCCTTATTATATGGGGCCGATCTCAGAGCCCTGTGAACTTCCTTACCTGCAGTTAAGGGAGCAGGGAAAGGACTCTCTTGGTTGTGGATTGACTTTGTTGGTGTCACCTTTTCTCCCCAGCCTACGTGGAGGGTTTTTCTCATGAATTTGGCAGGGTTAGCTGCTGAGTCAGCCCAAGATTCATAAGAGCATAAGCAGGGAAAGGCAGACTGCAGAAGGGGCAAGGATTGGGCCTTTTTTATCTTAAAGAGATTGATGGGTTCAAGGATGTTGAGAGGCGGGCACCATCTGTGCCCAACTCAAAACCTTGAAATATGTGCTTCCAGTATCCATAGATTCCTAGGACTGAGAAAGAAAAGCTTCTGGGAAGTGTTTATGCTATATGCCTGACCTCCCAAAGATGCTAGATTTCCAGTTTCTGTGTGAGTAGCAGACATGGGCAAAGCATGGTTGGCAGCAAGCCAGGAATGGCTTACTCTCACAGAGATCTGGCCCTCAATAATTTGTTCCAACTTCCTGTTCAAATGAACTTTCAGAGTGTTATCTTGTTTCATTTTCGGGCCCCTTAGTAGGTAATTTTCTGAGTCAATCCCCAAATGCTTCACTGAATCACTTTTTGACTCCTCAGAGTCTGCTCCCAGAACTTTTACTGGAGAGTTTTCTGATCCCAGGGATGTATTGTATTTTGAGATTTTCAGGTCCTTGACCAGGTCCTTCCCCAGGTGGAAATCTGCCATGGTGAAGGCATGGAAGTTTCCTGAGCATCTGGTTCTTCCTGGGGGCTTGGTCTTCTTTACTTTCTTCCTACTTTCACCTGTATTTATGTAGGGCTGTGAAAATTCATGGTGGTTCTTTGCCTGACATGTCCCAGTTAATTTTCCCTGAAGATGCATTTGCTCCTGAGACTCCTGGATCCTGCCAGGTAGAAACCCCTGCTGTTGGATGAATCTCTCTTGGAGGTGTTGCTCCAGTTGCTCCTGGAGCTCAGGACTGATAAAATCCCCAGGAAGAATGGAGTTTGACTTGAGGAGCTGAGAGGCCTGACTGTCCTGGGGAAAGGTGGAATTACTAACAGCTTCCTGAGATCTTTTGACCATAAAGGGTAAAGAATTCTCACTTTCCAGTTGCTTCTTCAAAAAGTGAAGTTCCAAGGTTTGAATTTCTTTTGAGATAGGTGATTGGACCTCATCCTGGACTATTTGGCAGGATTCTTCACAGGCCTTAGTCCAAGAAGCAGAAGGTAATGTGATTGGGAGAGAGGACTGGGAATAGCCCTGGATTAGGACTGGAGCCATAGGTGGGATCCAGATTTGGGACATGGTAGGAGTTAAAGATTGGGATTGAGCCTCAGGGTGGAGCAAGGGCTGAGTCTGTAAAACCAAGGGGAATTCTTTAGACTGCATTTGAATTGGTAAGACATTAGAAATTCCATTGAATAAAACAGAAGGAAGTTCTAGTATGGAACCAGACACCCTGACAGTAGCCACCAGGGACTCGCTGTGCAGAAAGGGGAGACCCCAGAAGAGTTTGTTGCATTTTTGCTGTAAATACTTCTGAGGACCAAGACGCTGCTCTGGTTTGATAGCAGTGTTCCAGAAGGGTTGGGGATGTGTAATAAGTCTTTCATCGCTAAATGCTTTCAACATATTTAAAGAATTCAGGTTGTAGTCTGAACTCTTCTTTTCTTTTTCTTTCCAATTTCTTTTCAATTCCACTCTCTTTGTGATCTGCGTTTCCAGCAGTTTCTGGACATCAGAGTTGAAAAAAGCAGGGCTCCCAGCTTCCACCTGCCAGTTTGTGGGGCATTCCCAAGAAGGAGAGTGCAGTGAGTGGAAGGAAGTATGTTTTTGTGAGGATTCAAAATATTTTGAAGTAGAGATGCAGAAGGTCTTGGCAGTTGTCTGACACCAAGAGATGGTGGAAATGGGACAGCTTGTGGGGTCAGGGCCTGTGATTGCGGGGCAGAAGAGGCCAACCAGCAGTTGCCTGGAGATGGGCTCTCCTGGATCAGGCTCAATAGGAGTGCCATTGCCTTTGAGTCACACTGAGAAAGGATCACAGTGGCATCTTGCAGTGGTGAAGCAGAGAAGATTGCTGGAGGCTGAAGGGAGGCAAATGTATCAGGGGGTTCTGGTACGGTAGGCAAAAGCACAAGTAATGGGGGTGGAAGACTGTCCAGGGGAAGGGGTGGCTCTGGTAATGGAGAGATACATAGTGAAGGTAAGAGATCAGAAACTGAGGACGTCTTCAGGTCTGAGGTGACAGGTGGAGGAGGCTGGGTCAGAAGAGCTGTGGAAATGGAAGGGGACGCCACGGAGGCAGTAGTGTCTGGAGTCCCCACACGTGGTCCATGGGCTTCAGCAGGCCCTGTTTTGCATACCCCACCAGAGGAGTTTCGGTATTTCTGTTGACGAAGGCTGCCCTTGTCATGGAGCTTTTCCATGTAGCTGCAGGAGACAAAAGGACAAGGCTCCAGCCAGAAATGAAGGTCTAAAGAGACTGGCAGGCTAGAGTCACTTGTGGAGCACCCTGTACCACTCCACAAGATTTGACACCCTGAGGCCGGCAAGATGGTGGACTAGGCAGAAGGATTGCACAGACCCTCTTCAACAAAGAAAAGGGAAACCAATTAACACAGACACAGAAGATAATC